TTTATATTAGACAAGTCAGACACAAATGAAACCCAATCGTCACACAGATTGGCGGGAATGATTTCATCCCAAGACAATCCAATACGCCATAAGTTTTGAAGAAGTAGTTTGGCTAAAAGAATAAAAGGTGAAAGCCAACCCAACGGATCATAAATACGAGCAACGTGGGACAGGATTGAACGTTTCGTAAACTCCACATTCACAGGAGAGACGGAGTAAGTGAAATAGTCTTCCGCAGGATCCCATTGAACTCCTAAAACCTTAAGCGTTATTGAACTATTGTCAGAAAATGTCTTCGGACACTGACAATGTTCCATGGGTAACGATCGAAGAAATAAAAGGCTGTTACTGCTCCACTTACGCAAATCTAGCTGAGCACAATTAAGAAGATTGATTAAATCTTCTTTAAGCTGAGAGGCTGCTTCGACTGAGGAAGCACCTGTAGTAATATCGTCCATGTAAGTATGATGTCGAAGAGCTTCAGCTGCATGAGGAAACTGATCACCGTGATCTGCGGCTAACTGATGTAATGTTCGTATCGCTAAGTACGGCGAGCTTTTGACTCCGTATGTGACCGTACGAAGTTCAAATTCTTGAACAGGCAAGGAAGGGGATTCACGCCATAGTACGTGTTGCCACACTCGATCCTCAGGCCTTATCAAGATTTGCCTGTACATCTTAGATATGTCACATGTAAAAACTATATTATGGACCCGAAATCCAGTAATAATGTCAACCAAATCAGCCTGTAACTTCGGTCCAGTGTAAACAATATCATTTAAAGATAGTCCATTAGTCGTCTTGTGACTCGCATTGAATACAACGCGAAGTTTGGTCGTTATGCTTTCTGGACGAATCACACAATGGTGAGGAATGAAATATCTACCAGGGGTAATATCCTTTCCCACTGGTTGCATATGATTAAGCTGCTCATAATCACGCATAAAATCGTTATAAAGTGATTTAAGATCTGGTTGTCGGCAAAGTTTTTTCTCAAGATTTATAAACTGCGACAAAGAACTATTATATGAGCCTCCCATATAGACAGACGACTGCGTCAATAAGGTAGGGACTACATATCGACCGTCCGATTCCCTATAAGTTTGAGTGGAATACAGGCGTTCGACCTCCTCATCTTCTGGAGCAGGTATATGTTGATGAGGCGGTTCCTCGACTTCCCAAAATCGTTTCATCATCTTCTCCAATGAATTGGTTGAAGTAATTAACGAAGTGCCAACCGATTTTACCGGACTCTCCACATTGGTGGGTCCTGAGAGAACCCAACCAAAGACGCTATGTAAAGCAGCAGGATAGCCGGGCTCTGGTTGAATGACACGGCCGTCATAGATGTGATGAAATACTTCAGCACCTAGCAATAAATCAACATCCGACGGTTTGTCAAAGTCACGGTCCGCTAATACTAAGTGTTTATAACAGTCTCGAACCGCTAGAGGAATATCAGTGGTTGGCATTTTAGAAGTAATGCTATCGATGACTATAGGATTAATATCAAATTGTGGGTCATTCGAATCACACGGGCGTATAGAGCATTGAGTCACTCCCTTGACTTGACACACAGACTGTTGTCCAAGTCCAGCCACAGTTGTGGTGCATCGACGTAATTGAAAACCAAGTCTCTTTGCGCATTTCATGGTGATGAAGCAGTCCTGAGCGCCACTATCGATGAGCGCTCTAACTTGATGGAACGTGCCACTAGAGTCCTGCACACGCACCATGCACGTCCCGAGCAGGACCACGCACGGGCCACGAGCCTCTCCCACGAACGCACTCGTGTTAGTGTGGGCACTACTCGAACCGGTGGTCACCGCGGTCGGTGATCGAACTTGGTTGTCGATGTGTACCAGAGTGTGATGATTACAACTACAGATAAAACATCTCATTTTTGAGACGCATTTATCAAGAGAATGTTTTCGTAAACAGTTAATGCATAAATTATTTTGTTTGACAATATTTATTCTAGCACTGGTGTCCAAAGATTGAAAAGTGGGGCACTTATAGATACTGTGTGCTGCGCCACAATAATGAGCAAAAAAATGAGCACTCTAGTGAAGCCAGCTGCTTCGAACTAGTAGGCTTAGACTGAGTAGTGAGCACGGAACGTTTCAGGTTCGGTGCCCGCGGTGAAACATTCTTGATCTGTTTACCGCCTAAAAATTGAGAAGATCGCGCCCTAATGTCAACATTAGCATTTATTTCTAAAACTTTTACATAGTTTTGAAGAAACTGCATAAGACTTTGAAAAGAAGGAATTTCCGATTTATTTTCAGATTCGAAGCGGTGGCGCGTATCGGAGTCCAGTGCGCGAAACGCTGCGTTAAATAAAATAAAATCGCCTAAGTCATCTAGCTCTAAGGCCTTAAGGGCATTGACTGACTCACAAAGAATATTAGTATATGTTTGTAAATCATTGAAATTAGGAGTTTTTAAATAAGGATAGTTATTTATTTGATCTAAATACGCCACTGCTAAAATGCGCTTATTTTGATAACGCTTAATAAGTTCATTGAATACAAGCTCATAATTATCGGAAGTTAATTTTACCTTCTTTGCGATCCCTAAAGCGGATCCCGATAAACAAGAAATGAGATAGTGAAATTTAGTAATATTCGCGATTGATTTATTATTATGAATTAACGTTACGAAAGTGTCGTAAAATGTTTGCCAATTCTCAATTTTTCCGTCGAACTTCAGAAGCTCAATTTGTGGCAGTCTAGCTTGTACCTTTTCCGCGTCAGGCGTAAAGGTGTAGTTAACGTCAGCGGACGTTGGGCTGCTGCCTCGTTTGCGCTCCGGTAGGGACATCTCCGCGGCAAAACTTAGAACTTCATAGTACATATCATCAAATGCAGACAACGCTTGCATATCTATTTTTTCTTTAGGAAACAGTGCCCGTTTTAACGAATTAATTTTTTCCGTAAGCAACACATATTCATCACGAATGTTCTCAATTTTAAGAAATCTAGATTTAAATTGGCTAACTTTAGAAGAACTGGAGTCTTCCCGTATTTGAGTGGATAAATCGAAAATAGTTTGAATAGAACGAAAAACATACTCTCGCTGTGACGTATAAAGTTTAAGTTTCATTTCTTCTTGTGACATGATTATAAAATAACAGCGAAAAATTAAATATGAATGTTAAGTATAATTATTAACGACAGATATTTAAAACAATATTTAAGTTTCTCCAAACTAAATTAACATTCAAATACTGAATTTAATGTTAACGTTTTTTTTAACCATTTGAATTAGATAACAATTAACAAACGACCCAACATTCATAGATATACAAGTATTTATACTTAAGTGCTATTATTCTAAGACCAAATTAATCATTTTCATAAACTGATTTAGTAATTTTTTCCAACAATAATTATAAAATACCCTCAAATTATAATAATTTTCAAAGCGTAAGCCTATCAATGCACATTCGAAATAAACTTAGCAATTATAACGCAACCAAATAAGATAAGTCTGCAAAGTCTGAGCAATACGAAACACTTCACGAGCATTCAAGTCTAGCAGGATTATAATTGAAATGAATTAGTTACTTTCAATTATAAGAAAAATAGATTAAATATCAAAGTTTTCCTTAGAAATTGAACTTGATATTATCTTTATGAGGAGCGGACTGTATAAAAATAGAAATCCATAGGTATCCGGCTCGAAGGACCAGAAATTATGTTACGGCTTGAATGTTTCGCAATGTGTTTCGTGGGTGGTTTTGGGAACCAGAGAACAACCAGACCAAGGGCTGGCTATCCCGATGATCCCAACCGGGAAGTAAACGAAAATAGCTTTAGAACTGGGTAGATAAGGTAAGGATACTCACAAGACTGGAGCACTCATCGTTGTTATGGTGAAGTCTGTATATTTAGGCTGAAGTTCTCGTGTATACACAGATACCACACTGCACTTCGAATGTATATGGACACGAGCAATTGCACGATAGTCTTACAACTAATTTATTGTTTATTTTTAAACAAGCGGTAACGAACACGTTTTATGCGTGCGCGGCCATCTTCCCTTTTTTTCTCGACGATAGGTGGCGCACCATTCTGAGCAGTACGTATACGGGGGAGGCGGGAGGATAGGAAACACTTAGGAAAAGGATGTTATATCGGGACTGTTCCGAAGCCACAACACCATCTCTACAAAGGATATTGCCTGTCATTCGGAAATTGTTTAATTACAACTTTTTTTTGTTACTAGCGTTTTATTCGAAGCTCCTTTCATTATATAGTTATGGTTATAGTTACAGCCTATCTATGTTCCACACCTGGGCACAGGCCTCCTACTCATTTCTGAAAGGGTTTTAGGACTAGGAATTGTTCACCGCGCTGCCCCGTGGTAAATCAGCACTTAAAATTGCAATTAACAATTTCATTGGTACCGGCGGCGATCGAACCCGGTTTGCTTGCGTACTGTAAAATTAACAGCGAGCGCTAACCATCTGAGCTACCACACCTCTATTTACTCTATTTACTCTCATTATAGTCAAAAATAATAATGTACTCCAGTCCGAACTTCCGTCACGGCGGCAAGTCTCAAGTGAGACGAACCATCCGTGCAGGACAAGATTAAAGTGGCCAAATGTATGCGCAATTGCAGGCGCTCTCTCCATTTCCTTTCCTCTCATAGTCGATCTCAGTCTCAGAAAGATCAACCACAAGGCCTACGGCTTTACGTGCTTCCCGGGATAAGGAGTTAAAACACCTCTAACTTCTTGACTCTGGCAAGGACGTTGGCAGTTCCGAGAAATCCTTTGAGAATTTCTCAGCAGAAAAATCAAATAACTGATATGCCATAATGGCTTGACCCGGGATTTGAACCCAGGTCCTCATTATTAGCAACCACTTTTACGACCAGTAGACCAAAGACGCAGTCAAATTATTCTTTGATAATGAAGCTATATATGACAATTAATGCATCAATTTCAAACGTAACGTAAAATGTACCAGTACTGTCGTGTTTTGTTTCAGGACCCTTTTGCCCGCCATTACCAAACTGTCCAGCGGCTGCTAGCCGCTACAGACCTTTGGGAGGGGAGTGTAACAACGACCAGAACCCAACCTGGGGCGCCATTAACACAGGCTATGAAAGGCTCTTGCCTCCAGATTACAGTGATGGTAAAATTGTATTTTAAAACACTTTTATTGGCTTGACACCACGTAGTGGTGGTGTTGGAATATACCATTACCCCATTTCATCTCGTGGGTATCGTAGACGACAGTGGGAAAGTAAACCAGGAGATGGACACCAGCAGTTTTCTGATAGCAGCTGAATAAAAAAAAACTGTGGTTGCCAATCCGATTGCCAGGCGTGCCAACTAAGACATTATATGGTGATAACGAATTTTGGTTCGTATTAGAGGATAAATATAGATGTCCACGGGCCACATCACACTTATCATCAGCTGGAGCGTGTGCTGTTTGTCACCCTTACTCTATAAAAATCTAATTCAAATGCGAGGAGGTATCTCAGGAGATATATTAAACATAACTGAATTTAGAAAAAAATACTTTATAAAATGATTAAAAATAGATTTTTTCAAGAAAACAAACAGCCCCCCCCCCTCTCCGCCAATGTGTCAATCTTCAGTCAATAATACATACGGGTACTTGAGTTAAATTGTCTTAAAAAGGGTAATTAAATAGAATAATGCTTGGTTTCTTGCTGGTTCTACCAGGACAGAGGTTTTTTCTGAACTAGTGATAAATTCAAAAAAGTAACTTTCAGTAATTATATACAATATATATATTGAATAAAAAAATTCTGTTTATGTTATGTCTTAGGTATTTGGGCCATGAGAACATCAGTCGTTGGGCTTCCTTTACCCAGTCCGAGGACAGTGAGCCACAGCCTACTCCTGGACGGCAGCCACCCCAGTCGCACACAAAACCTGATGTTTATGCAGTTTGGACAGTTTATAGCTCACGACATAAGTGCCGGTGTCGTCTTCACTCTGGGTAAGTGGTCTGCATGTGGTTCGAAAATTTGAATACCTTAAAATTCAGAAATTAGAGAAGGCTTGTGCTTAGGAGTGGGACGTAGACGTATTTTCGGTAACATTACTTTACTTTCATTTATTTATTTATTTAACTTCATATACACTTTAATACCTATATTTGTAAAAGAAGTACGGAAAGTCTTTAAACACAATAGTGTTTAAAGACTCAACAGACAGAAAATATTTATACGTGGTAGAGCCATACTGCAATTATATTAGTAGTATAGTTATAGCACGATTGGGTCGGCTCGACCGGGGAGGGACCACGCTCTCACAGAATACCAGCGTGAAATAGTAGCCTAACGCTGCTGTGTTTCCTATAGTGAGTGTAGAGAACCGAATACCATTTTTACTGGAAACGAGGCATTCCATCTTATTCCTCACGGGTGACAACGCATCTGCATTTTGATTCATAATCGAGGATATATGTGTGATGTCTATGGGCCGCAGCAACTACTTACCATCAGGTGGATTGTGTGCTCGTTTGTCACCCTATACTATATTAAAAAAAACTAATATATAGTAGACTATGAATAAGTTGTTCAAATGATAGTAAGAAATAATTATAAGACAATATTTTATCGAATATTCTTTTAATATTATGATTAGCTAGCCAAAGACTTTTGTAAAAAAAGTTACCTTAACACTAGGATTTTGTTCTTTATCGTCTATAAATTGCTGAAGGACAAACACCCAGACCCGGAACAATTATTTGTAGGACATAAAATATTAGTACCATGGAGGATTCAAACCCGCGACTCTCAGCGCCACAACTCATTGCTAATCCACTGCGCTAAGGAGCCGTCAAGAATACTACAGCTAAAATGGTAATATGGAAATAATTTTGAGCCTTTTTCAAGTCTGCAGGAGGATCACCCCAGTCGCTTCTTAGAATAGTGTCGCTAATATTACTTGATTTGTGCTTTCGTATTTTTGACAAATTTAATAGCAATCATAGTTAACCTAATGAAATTCCACAGAATAACGGCGTAAGGTTAACTCTGCTGTTTCAAACGGAGAGAGTAAAGAGTCATAGACTCTTTTTACTTGTAACGAGGTATTGCATCTTAGTCCTTCGGGGCCGCAATCACGCACATATATTTCTGGACAACGCATCTACATTTTGATTTTTAATCGAGAATATATGTGGGGTGTTATGTGTCTCTGTTTTACTTGATTTATTTTTCTTTGTTATAAGTATGTGTCAAAGAAACGTCTTTCTTGCTTTCTAATTGAAAAAATCCTTCTTTTTAAAGACTGTTTTCTTAATCATCATCACCACCATCATCATCATCATTATTATAATCATCATTAAAGTTTATTTTAAGGCTACAGCTGAATGTAGTCCTCTTCTAAGGAATGCTCAAAGCTCATCTTTGAGCCACCTGTATCCATCGATAACCTGCATCTCTTACCAGGTCGTCACTCCATCTAGTGGGCGGCCACCCTACCCTTCATTTCTATTATCAGAAGGAGGCTTTCAGAGAATCTTTCTTCCCCATCGGTTGTCGGTTTTCCGAGCTACATGGCGGGCCCATTGCCATTTCCGCTTACATATCCGTATAAATAAGTAACGTTTAAGTTGGACAGATAAGATGTTGGCTTTAGACTTTACCTATTTGAAACCAAGGTCATATGTTATTCATTTATTAACTTATATGTAAGGAGACAACAAACCGATCGCGTGCTGCTCCGGTGACGGCGAGTATTCAATCCCCGCAGACCAGCAGCACTGGGCATGCGCTCCCATTGAGATCGATACCAACGACTCCTTTTACGGCCGCTTCCACCATCGCTGCATCAACTTTGTCAGGACGCAGTTAGCGCCAGCCCGTGATTGTTCCGTTGGATATGCGAAGCAGGTAGAATTAAAATAAATGTTGTTTTATTTCGGGATTCTGAAAATAGCACACAGCATCCTGGTTTAAGAATATCCACTACCCCACATCTTTCCGTGAGTCTCATTAGAGGCGACAGAGGGAAACAAATCAAGAAATGGGCCGCAGCGTCTTTGTAATAAGGACTAAAAATAAAAAAATAAACTGTAATCACAAGCGTGGCAACTGTGGCAAATATCTCCCCTATTAGGCAACTATTTATTTGCACCTGAAGCAAATAAGGGCAACCCTCCGGTAACGGGGGAGGGAGGTGATGAATGCTCATAGCATACCACGCACTAAATACCATCTTTTGGGATTGGCTTAATGATCTAGTGAGAGATCTTTAAGCTGTAAACGGACGCGACCCTCCTTGGCTGAAAGGAGGGCGCAAGAGGCAATCTATAAGGGGCCTCCTTTATATATTGCTATTTTCAGCAGTGGACTTTAATATTGTGTAACGGTAACGGTTACGGTAACAGCATTGGAGAACAGCGTTTTCTCAATCAAATTAAACTAAATCAGTTTGCTATATTGATGTAAACAAAGTTCGCGGTTTATAAAAAAAGAACAGCTTGTCTTCTCGCTCGCTCAATGTCGACAGGAAATTGACCGTAACTTATTTCGGGAAATTGTCGTTGTGCCCGTGTAGTAGAATATATAGAAGATCACCTATTAGTATACATAGGAGACAAAACAAAAAAGACGTGGTCATTCTTCAGTCCGGTCGATACATTCGTGCTGGAACCGTTAACACTCGTTGATCTTATGTTAATTATAGTGGTCGTAAACGCGACGCGAATAAGCACAACATAGATACTCCTACGTTCGATTCATCATCATCATTACAGCCCTTCACAAGTCCACTGCTGAACATAGGCCTCGAACGTTCGATTTGATATTAATAATTTCAGCATAGTTTATAAGACTGGTTTAATGATATCGTTATTTATCGAAGGCGGTTGTCCGTGCCTTACTATTCGTTCGGGCTCACTGAAAACCAGTGCTCTTGTATCGGCGACAACATAAGCTAAGTGAGGTCCCTTTGCCTAATGCGCCACAACATACAAGATGTAAAACGTTTATTTTTTTTGTTGTTTTCTATAAGAATACATAATATTAAATTATTAGATCCGTCAAATTGTTGTTTTCTTTATTATTATTATTATTTATTTTATTTTGTTTTACTATTTTAATTAAAGTGTCTACACCTGTTAAAATTTAAGTACCTAATGTTTGTGGCGTATTGCGAATGTTTCTTTCTTTCTTAATAATAGCAGACCTGAGTCAGGAAATTGGCGCTGTTTCACCCCGTGCCTCAGAAAACACTTAAAGCCATTAGTCCTGCATCTGATCTCTTTCCGGTTGTGTCGGTTTACCGTCCCATTTGACTATGAGAATGAGGGACTAGAGAGTGCACCTGTGCTCGCGCAAACACTCGGGCGCTATAATCCTGTCCTTCGCAGACTCCTGCGCAGAGCCCTCCGTGGAGCCAGGACACTGTGACCGAAATTCGGTCTGGAGAACTTTTATACAGCATAATCCTAGCATAAAAATGTAAGAATACAATAATAATTTTCAGATGAACGGCGCTACCCATTACCTAGACTTGTCGCATCTTTACGGGAGTACATCAGAGAAACTGGAATCTTTAAAGGCTCCAGGTGGCCTGCTCAGGGTGTTCAACGATTACGGTCGAGATCTTCCTCCCACTACTGACAGGAAGGAATGCGTGACTGTTAAAGATGGTGCCGCTTGCTTTGATTCAGGTATTATTTTTACTTTACTTTAGACTCAAGATATTTTTCCAAAAAGCAAACATTTTATACAAGACAGGATGGATCCGCGATTGCGATCAAATGGAATTTCACGTTCCCAGTAAAAGGGCCTACGGTTCTCGTCACACACTTTTTTATAGAATAAGGGTGACAAACGAGCACACAGTCCTCCTGATGGTAGCTGGAGGTTGTGGCCCATAGAGATCTAATCTATCCTCGGTAAATATTCAAAATGCAGATGCGTTTTCACTTATCAGGACTAAACTTGAATGCCTTGTTTTCAGTAAAAGGGTCGTCGGTTCTCTACACACACAATACAAAACATAGCAATAAGCCATTATAGTATATTTATAGTAGTACTATGGTATAGTTCAACCATAATATAGTTGCAACGTGGCTGTACTCCCCGTTATTTAACTGTGTTTATATAACTAGCGGTAATTTTTTCTCCGTTCGAGAGTGACAAGGAAGAAAAAACCCACATTTCAAAGAGAATACCCAAAAATAATTGTATTCTCAGCGAATGAAATGCTTTCGTAAAATGTAGGAGCTCAATAAATGCTTCTAGATTTCCTTAATTCGTTGATCCACACCCAATCAACAGTACGTTGCACAAGATAACTATGACATCGCCTATTTACGTCAGGCGTTATTTGACAAATCTTCTATTTTCTTTATTGCAGAATGGTTAATCACCGTAAACATATGGAAAAGAATCTGTATACAATTCATAATATTTTGGAGATAGATATTATAAATGATGAACATAGTTTGTAGTGATGAATGCAGAATAAACCTGAAAAGTAAAATTCTAATAGACACGTCGTTCACGGCTCTACTAAGGTGTACTAAGCACGAATGTACATTCAAAGTGAACAATTACAATTTAAAATTTCCTCTATTTCGCTTAGATGAAAAGAAACAGCTTAGATTGAACGCGATACGAGACGAGAATGGCTGTATTCTGAATGATGAAGTGTTGAGACTAAAGAGATGGAAAGAATATTTTGAAAGCGTATATATGAGTGAGGAGACGTGTGAACTAAATGAAATAGAAATTCCGAAAGAAGATGAAAGAGATAAGGAGATAAGTATAGATGAAATAATGAAAGCAATGAAAAGCATGAAAGTAGGTAAGGCAGCCGGATATGATAGAGTTTCACTCGAAATGCTAAGGGCTGGAGAGGAAGTGGTGGCAGGCCTGCTGTACACCTTATTCAATTTATGTTGGGAGCTAAAGCGGGTACCGGGAGATTGGTGCAAAGCCTGATAGTCCCAATATAAAAGGGAAAAGGGTCTCAGCAGGACTGTAAAAACTACTGTGGTATCAGCCTTCTTAGCATTGTGGGAAAACTGTATGCTAAGGTACTAATTGAAAGAGTTATGAAAGTAACTGATGGAAAAAATTTGGGATGTGCAAGCGGGATTGAGAAAGGGAATGGGGTGTACAGATCATTTCATCACCATTCCATGCGCATGATCGCGGAGAAGTTTTTGGCGAAAAACCAAAAAGTTTTTTGTGAGTTCATGGACTTGGAAAAGGCTTATGACAGAGTGGACAGGGATGTGTTATGGCAAACGCTGAACTCATTTAGGTTGAACGCTGGGTTGATACAGGCATTAAATTCTCTGTATAGGGACTCGAGTGCTTGTGTTAGGATCAACGGGGCCTACTCGGACTGGTTTGGCATCCAAAAAGGTGTCAGACAGGGCTGTGTAGCTTCCCCTTGGCTGTTCAACCTATTTATGGACAGTTGTTTGGAAAATTTGAAAGTTGAAGAATGCGGGTTAAGAATGGGTAAGTTAACCATCAAATGCCTTTTGTACGCCGATGATCAAGTCATATTTGCGTCGTCGGTGGCCGAGTTGCAAATGATGGTTACATTAATGAACAGGTCATTAAAAGAAAGGGCAATGAAAGTGAAAGCAAGTAAGACGAAAGTGATGATTTTTGAAAGAGAAGAAATCAAAACGGTATGTGAAATAAGAATAGAAGGAGATAAAGAGAGAGAGAGAATGATAAGGATATTGAACGACGAGTGAATGCAGGAAATAAAGTAAATGGGTTTTTACACTCTATTGTGAAAAGTCAGAATGTGTCAAAAAAGGCACGTATGGCAATTCACAATGCTGTATTAGTCCCTACTTTAACGTATGGTAGTGAAAGTTGGGCGTGGCAGAAGAAGCACGAGAGTAGAATAAATGCCGTAGAAATGCGGTTGCTAAGGATATGTTAGGGCTGAATCTGAGTGACAGGGTGAGAAACTGTCCCCCCCGAACGGGTTCCCGCCTTGTCGTGGCGGGGGGGGCTTAGAAGCCGTGGATTGGTCACCCACGGCGAAACAAAGAGGAACCCATATGGCTGGTCCGAGGCGGAGGGCCGGCCCGAGGTGGCCACTCCGAGTGGGCTTGGGAAGCCCACTTCGGATGTGTGTTGGTGGACTGCGGTGAGAGGTGTGTCCTCCCCACCTACCGCTGCAGCCGAGGTGGAGTCGCGGAGGAAGAAGAGTGTTGGTATGGCGATGCGCCACTCGCCCTATCCTCCGCGACTCAAACGGGGCCGCACCGTTGATGCGGTGGTGATGGGGCTGCGGGGGGAGAGGATTGTCGGTATTGCGAGGCGCCGCTCTCCCTATCCTCCGCAGCCGAATCTTGGTTGGCAGCGGAGCCATAGACCAGATCCGCCGCTGGGGTCGGGAAGGCTAGTACTTCTAAGTGCTCGTTTTTCCTGGCCACATTGCCTTCGCGCATCGGACGCGGGGGCGTCTGTTGCGCAGATGTAATTGGAGGCCGTGGAGGAAGGCGTGCCATGTGTTCTGGTGCGCCTTACTTGGAAAGGAGAACGGGGAGGAATATTCCTCTCCCGATGAGGTGCTGCCATGGGGCGGCAGTCGCTGGTGGGGCCGCAGATGTGTGCGAAAGCGTTCCCGTAGCCCTGCCAATATGCGACGAAGGTGGAACACCATGGGGTTTTAGTCGGTGCGAGTCCGACATAACCCGTCCTTGCCCCCGCGAGGCGGGTATGCGTAGGCATTTCCCCATGTTAAAAAAAAAAAAAAGGTGAGAAACTGTGTGATAAAAGAAGAGTGTGGTTTGCAAGATGATGCGGTGACCAGGATTAAGAAAGGAATGCTTCGGTGGTTTGGTCATGTAGAAAATGTGGAATGTGGAATGAATGAGGAAAGACTGACAAAGCAAATTTATGTTGCGGAAGTGAACGGCAGAGTCGGAAAGGGACGTCCTAGGCGAAAGTTTGTCGAACAAATTGGTGATATATTAAAAATGGGCCAAATTAAGAGTACCCTTAACCGACGAGCAAGTATGCGTAGGTATATGGATGTGGAAGAGGCGAGAGAGGTATGTCAGGATCGTGCTAAATAGAAGTCTGTAGTTTCTGCCTACCCCTCTGGGTGACAGGCGTGAGTATTTATGATGAAAATAATTATGTGACGTGTGCACTTAATAAAATAAAAACTCACAACTGGACATGAACTTCTCTCTTTGTAATGGATTTGCCATTATCGCTGCACTTGGCAAGTGAATTATTAATCGCATTACCAGATGTCTTTTTCTTGCCCTTTGGATGCTGCATCTCGTCGCCGATTGGTATATTTACGTCTGGCGTAAGTGAGATGATTATATGGCGGTATATAATAAAACATGGTGTCGTCCTGATATAGGTTATAAGTGGTAGAGCTACGCTGCAGTTATATTAGTAGTATGATTGTGACGAGACCCTGTTTTACTGGAAATGAGGCATTCCATCTTAATCCTCAGGGTGACAACACATCTGCATTTTGATTCGTAATCGAGGACACTCACCATCAGGTGGACTGTGTGCTCGTTCGTATCCTATTATTTATTAAAAAAAAATATATATATATATATATATCCTATAAAAAAGGTAAGATCAATAAAATAGTGACAAATTTTTAATCATTAGTAAACTGCCACACTTATCTAGTAGTAACCGCAACCCCTGATTATGGATCATCCCAATTTCAGGTCGGGCTAAAAATCAGTTTTTGAGTTTTTCCGTAAAGACATTCACAGAAACAGCCCGAAGTCAGGAAGTTGGAGGTGTTTCACCCCCGTACCTCAAAAAGCACCTAAAGCCGTTGTTTCTGCGCTCAGCCTCTCCGATCGTATTAGATTGCTACTCCCATACTTGCCAATACACTCTGGAATTATAATCCTGTCCTGCACAGATGGCTAGTCTCCGTTGAGGCTGGCCGTCGGGACCGAAATTCGGTCTGGAGGACATTTTTATTCATTAGTAATAATTAGTTACTAATATTGACTCTATCATATTTTACAGGTGACAACCATGCAAACCAAGTTATATCCCTTACGGTTCTGCACACCATTTGGACAAGGGAACATAACCGTGTTGCGAGGGCCCTATCCCGAATGAATCCGATCTGGACCGAGGAGAGAATATTTCAGGAAACGAGGAGGATACTGCAAGCTGAGTTCCAACACATAATTTACAATGAGTGGCTGCCTTTATTATTAGGTGATATAATTACTAGTTACTTTGCAAAATTATTTGTACTTATAGTCAACCAAATCTAAGAAATACCTTTTGACGTTTCACATTAATCATTCAGTAATAACTTTGCACAAGCGTACTCACACGATTTAAAATAACCATTTACGTAAATCCGAAGAATTATAAATTTATCTATATTTCATTACAAAGTGTATAGTTTTTTATCACGAATTTAAATTTGAATCTTTCAAACTAAGCAAAATATTAAGAAATAACCAGTATCAACTTTTTGTACTTGACGTCGTTTCAATGATATGTCGCTATGTACATTACCGTAGTGTTTGAATGATTAAAATTAATTGTTATGCGAATAATCGGCAAAAATATTCCAATATTCGGTAAAAATATTCAAATAATCGAATCATTAATTTTTTTGATGTATTATTTGTTTAATTTAATTTTTATTTTTAAAATTTCTTAAATTACATGAATCATTAATAAAACAAGTTTATTCTTTTTATTTGTCAACGTAAATTTGTGTAGGCAAAAAAACTCATATACAAGGCCGCGATATAAAAACCACTACGTAATTTCAATATTCCGCCATTTCGGGAGCTTAGCGAGCTGTGCGTAATTTTGTGTTTGTCTTCTTATTTTGTGACTGTGTGTAACTTTTTGGACTGTTTCTTTAATATTCGTTGAGGCATGTGCCCATTTCGCAAAAGAAAAATGGGCAAAAGTGGTAGAAAAAACAAGAAAAGACAACTTTTCTTGTTTTTTTTAAATTGAAAGATAATATTTTGACTGCATTATTGAAAATCTAACAATGACAGTTCAACTATTTGTACTGATAGTGATTGAATAAATTTATTTTTACCTTAGTTAAAATCTTAAATTTTTATAACTGTCCCTCTAGAAATAAGCAGTACCTAACAACAAATACTTAGAAACTGATAAATCTTGTGTTTTAAATTATCCGTATTTAATTTATTCTGGTATTATTAAAACCAAACAGTAAATGATTACCAACTCTAAATAATCGATATCGATTTTTTTAAGAATCGAATATTGTACGTTCCCATTTTTTGGTTGGCATGCCTGGTCTATACAATCATCGATTAAAGGCTATAAAAGTCCACTGCTCACATTGACCTCCTTCTTATATTACTACTTCTTATATTTCTTGTTTACTAACACAGTTTTATTGGCATCATCTGATAGCGGATCTGATAAAATACTATTAGTACTGCCAATCAATGACAAATGTAAATTACAATTTTTTCTTTTTCTGGAGTTCTGGGTACGTTCTATCAAAATGTGATAAACATCATCTATAACATTGCAAGTTGAACAATTTGGTGAGGTAGTTTTTCGCATCAAGTTTAAAAATTTCTTTCTGGGCACATTCCATGCCACCGTGTTGCAAGGCATGTTGGAACCGCAGTTTTTTTATTATTTTGCGTTGTTATCTCTATATTATATTGCGATATCTATCCGGAAGATGCTGCTACTCAACTCCTGCTTCAGTTCCTTGACGTCTCTTACGACACCCACCGTACGATATGGGGTAGTGGACATTCTTTTACTGACACTTCACAGCTAGAAAATCTTATACGAGTATTAATTATTTTTAATTTATTTAATTTTAACTAATTCATAATTCCCTGCAGTCATTTTTAGCTCTTTGCAAAGCATTTATTAACGGTGGACTTGGACCCCCCGTGGCAATTTTAATTTTTAATTGATTACTTGCTACCGTTTATGTGTTAAACATAATGACACATTTATTGACATTCACTAACTCTAACCTTAATATCCCAGGTCCTCAACTCATGCAACTATTCCACCTATACCCTGCACGAGGATACTCAGCAGCGTATGACCCTCAAGTGAATCCGTCTCTGACTGCCGAGTTCTCTACGGCGGCAATGAGATTCGGTCACTCCATTGTCGATGGGAAGATCATGTGAGCAAGTTTTGGAAATCCTTTTGTACAATGTATTTAATGTAAAATTAAATAGATTGTTCAGTATATGCTTTTTGTAAGAGTTTAATAATTTTTCCATTTGCCAGGGGTATTGCGAACATCATACTGTTAGACAAAGGCCTCCACTCTATTGTTAATGTAAGGGATGATTTCTCAATCGTCAGATAAAAGTTATCTATCAAATATATTAAAACGTGATTGAATCTAAAAGTAAAATATTTGAATTTTTTTTTCTCAAAAATGTAATTTTTTAATTTGTTTATGTTGTTTATTTTATCCTATGAATAAATTTTATCTGAGGATTGAAAAATCCGTCCCTTAAGTTTTTTTATAGAACGAAGGTGACAAACGAGAAATATAAACGAAAATTTAAGGTGCAATACCGTAGCCGACTGCAGACAGCAGCAGCAGACGACGTGTCGCCGCGACATGACGCCACGATATATCGCCGCGACATGTCATGGAGTCATGTCGCTGCTGCAGTCATGATTCCGAACCCGACTGCAGCCGGCAGCAACCTGTGTCCAGTCTGTTCCGAGTATTAAGTGGAATATAATGTCTGACGTGCTTGAAATAAGCAATTGTGATTTATTTTGTATCTTTTGTTAGAAGAGGAAGGAGATGATGAATGATGAAGAAGAAAGATGAAAAGACGCACGTCCTATGTTGAAATGCAGAGGAAGTGAGTGAATCTTCTTCGGAGTCGGTGAAACTCATTTTTTAAGAAAAATTCAACGTGGTGTCGCTTGAGCGTTAACGGCACTACTGATCTGCGATTGGGCTACAGTGTCGTCTGCCGCTAGGCAAACGACGCGTCGCTAGCCGCGGAACGTATTTCATAGAACTACATAGAAACTAGTTGTGACGACACGTCGCGTAGCTTGCTCCTGCTGTCTGCAGTCGAATACGGAATTGTACCTTTATCCTCGATTAAGAATCGAAATACAGATGCGTTGTCACCCCGAGGACTAAGGTAGAATGCCTCGTTTCCAGTAAAAATACTCTCGTTATACGAATCAAAGCGCCATTAAGCTATATTAAGAAAGCTGTTATTTTAAGCTTGTATTCTGTAAGAGCGTGGTCGTCCTTCCACGGTCGAGCCGACCCATTCGTGCTACAATCATAATATACCTGCAGCGTGGCTCTACCACGTATAGTCCATTCCAATTCCAATTTTTTTAAAGATGTTTTTGCATTCTAAAAAAGACTAGAAAATAAATAACTATGGTTACCAATCTACCTGACAAGCCTGACAACTTTGGAAGACATTTTCTTATTAAATAATAAATTTCCCCCTCATATTAGAAATAATTGTACTAGCAAATTTGTTAAATAGCTTATCCTTAAAAATCTTATAAATATCTTTCCAGGATCCCCAGTCCGAGAAGTGGCGACATGTATGAGATGATATCGTTACCAGAAATCATGTTCCAACCATCAAGGCTGCGACTAGTGCCATTTCTGGATAGACTATTAATTGGTCTATCAGTGCAACCCATGCAGTCAGTTGATCCGTTTGTTACAGAGGGGGTGAGAGCAGTTCTTCTTCTCTTTTTTTCATTTCTTGTTTATTCTTGTGCTTCTTCAATAGCTGATAAAAATCCACTGTTGGATCATGGACCTCCCCCATTTTATCGTCACGCTTAGTGGGTGGTTTGACGAGCACCAGACGTTACAGCTCTTTGTCGTTGCTGGCAGTCATTGGTTTGAATATTTCATCATCTCGTCACCGTATCATCCCATAGGTGTTGTAAGAGGCGACAGATGGAAACTGAACTAGGAGGTGGGTAGTGGTTTTTCCTGATAACAGCTGAATAAGAACAACTAAGACTGCCAACCCTCTTGCAAAGCTTGATAACGCTTGCAAATATATGAATCAATCGATGGGGAAGGTTTTTGCTGAGCGGTTGGACTTTTAATAGGCTGCAATGTATATTTCATAACATAAATATTAAGGTCTTTATTCGTCTTATTCGGTATTATGGTGTATAAGCGCAGCGGTGATATTCTGCCGATCTTTTATCTAACACTTATGAGCATAATCAAACATAAGTATCAATTCAATTATTGGGAAGGTAGCCCGTTTGATAGGAAACTAATGAAGAAATAAAGAATTTTTTTATTAAGCTACATAATACATTTTTTATATTTTTTATAGGATAGAGTGACAAACGATTACACAGTCCACCTGATGGTAAGTGGTTGCTGCGGCCCATAGACATCTACATCTATCTTCGATAACGAATCATAATGCAGATGCGTTGTCACCCGTGAGGACTAAGATGGAATGCCTCATTTCCAGTAAAAAGGGTCTCCGGTTCTCTACACTCACCATACGAAACACAGCAGCATCAAGCTACTATTTCACGTTGGTATTCTGTGAGAGCGTGGTCCTTTCCCTTTCGAGCCGACTCATTCGTGCTACAACTATACTACTAATATAACTGCAGCATGGCTCTACCACATACAAAATTGCATTATTACACCATATGAATGTATTGGCTAAGTGTAGGACGATCCCCCACTTGATGGATTGACGACCTGGTAAAACATGCAGGAGGTCGATGGATTCAAGTGGTTCAGGAACGTGCTTCGTGACATTTCTTGGGGTAGGCCTATGTTCAGCAGTAAATTTTTTGAAGGGCTGTAATGATGATGATGATAAATTTATTGTTACATTATCATTAATGCAGCAACAAATAGGCATCAGACTCAGCATTGTGCCGCGGTGTAATATCCACAGCGCTGACATTCTACCAGTGTCCTTTACAATAATGCACGAGCAGTCGCCAAACTATAGTCAACCAAATCTAAGAAATACCTTTTGACGTTTCACATTAATCATTCCGTAATAACATTGCACAATCGTACTCACACGATTTAAAATAACCTTTTACGTAAATCCGAAGAACTATGAAGTTATCTATATTTCATTACAACGTGTATAGTTTTTTATCACTAATTTAAATTTGAATTTTTCAAACAAAGCAAAATATTAAAAAATAACCAGTATTAACTTTTTTTTACTTGACGTCGTTTCAATGACATTTCGCTATGTATATTACCGGAGAGTTTGAATGTTTAAAATTCATTTTTATGCGAATAATCGGCAAAAAAATTAAATAATCGGTAAAAATATTCTAATAATCGAATTATTAATTTCTTAAATGTATTATTTGTTTAATTTAATTTTATTTTCAAAATTCCGTAAATTACATGAATCATGAATAAAACAAGTTAATTTTTTCACTTTGTCAAAGTTAATTTTTGTAGGAAAAAAAACTAATATCCAAGGCCGTGCTAAAATAACCACTATATAATTTCAATACCCCGGCCATTTCGATACCAGTTACTCGACTCCACAGAATCTGTAATTCATTTTTGAGGCGATGTATACGCTTTTATAACAAAATGCCAGAAAATATACAAAATTTGACGTAAGTACACATAGTTCAAAAACTATATTAAACTAAGTCTGTATAAAAAGGGTTATTTTAATATTAAGGAATTTATGGATGATAATAAGCCCTGGGAAGGGGGATTTGTAATTTGTTTTGTGTTGTTAATTGTAACACGCATGATTGTAAGCTCTTATTAAAAAAAAACTAGTCCCGTTGGGTTTCTTGCTGGTTCTTCCCAGGACAGGTATTTTTTGCCAGTGCGAACCAGTGGTAAATGAAACAAGTGACTTTCAATAAGTATTATTCATAATCTATATTGAATAAAAAAAAGTTTCTGTTTCTGTTTCGAGAGCTTACTGTGCGTAATTTTGTGATTTTGTGTTTGTCTTCTTATTTTGTGACTCGGCTTTAACTTTTTGGACTGTTTCTTCTATAATAACTTTTTGTACGTGGTAGAGCCACGCTACATCTATATTATAGTTGTAGCATGAATGGGTCGGCTCAACCAGGGCAGAACCACCCTCTCACAGAATACCAGCGTAAAATAGCAGCGTAATACTGATGTGTTTCGTATGGTGAATATAGAGAACCGGAGACCCTTTTTACTGGAATCGAGGCATTCCATCTTAGTCCTCAGGGGTAACTGATTCTTATGAGGATAAATGTTCAGGTCTATGGGCCATAGTATCCACTTACCATCAGGTGGACTGTGTGCTCGTTTGTCACCCAATGCTATAAAAAAATCGTTGAAGCATGTGCCCATGTCACAAAGGATGATTCGGCAAAAGTGGTAGAAAAAACAAATTGAAATGATTAAGGATAACTTTGAAAGAGACATTAATTTTGACTGCATTATTGAAAATCAAATAATAATAATTAATATAAACAACGAAATCCCTACTAAATGTACTGAAAGTGATTGAATAAATTTAGTTTGAATCTACTTTCAATCTTAAATTTTTATAACTGTGCCTCTAGAAATAAGCAGTAACAACAAATACGAAGAAGCTAATAAATATTGTGTTTTAAATTATCCGTTTTTAATATATTCTGGTATTATTCAAACCAAACTGTAAATGATTACCAACTCTAAATAATCGATATCGATTTTTTTAGGAATCAAATATTTTACGTTCCCATTTTTTGGTTGGCATGCTTGGTGCAATAAGTCTGACAGCTGTCAAAATGTATTTCTTAGATTTGGTTGACTATAGAACCTAGGATGTTAAACACTTATTATTTTTAAATTTGGTTTAGTAACGGATTGGTAAACTAAATTGGCAAAGGGCCAGCTATATAGCTCGAGGGACCGACAACCGATGGAGGAAAAAGTAAGAGATGTAGGAAGTCAACGCATGCAGGTGGCTCAGGACCGTGATTTGTGGTATTCCTTAGGGAAGCCCTATGTTCAACAGTGGGCTTGTGAAGGGCTGTAAAGATGATAATGATTATTTGGTTTAGATAATAACATTTATAGAGATAAATAGTTAATTAAAATGTAACTGGGTCAACTATGAGTTCTGCCAAAGAGATAGTTTGCTTCTAATAGATGAAGATATCATCACATTTATGCCAGAGGCACAATATTTAGATCACAAAACGTGAAGCCACGACAAAGGTGCGAGACCTCTGGCGCTTCAATCGTCAATCCACCTACAATGTGTGACGATAAAGGTAAATCCTTTACAAGGCGGCGGAGACCCATGTCTAGTTTTGGACTTTGAAAGGTAAATGAATTTACAGCCTATATTCTTCCCACTGCTGGAGACAGGTGTGACCTTACTTCTGAGAGAGATTTAGAACAAGAAAGTGTCCGCCGCACTGCCCCAATGCGTATTGGCGGAATTCACATGTCTTAGAAATATTTATTTTATTTCTTCTTTCTCAAACATGGAGGTTTCTTCTCGATGTTTTCCTTCACCGCCAAGCGCGTGGTAAATCGGTGCTTAAAATTTCAATTAACTATTTCATTGGTGCCGTTGGTGATCGAATCCGGGTTGCTCATGCACTGTGAAATTTACAGCGAGCGCTAAGCCCCTGAGCTACCACGGCTCTGTTTGAACTTTTACAAAGTGACAATATAGAAGAAGGAGACATATTACATATTTGGTTTATTTTATTTCATGCAGTTGACCCAGTACATGTTCCGAGGGGTGAATCCTTTCGGCCTGGACTTGGCTGCTATCAACATCCAGCGTGGCAGGGACTATGGTGTGCGTTCCTATAACCACTACAGAAGACTCTGCGGCTTGGAGCCATTCACCGACTTCAAACAATACAGTCCCATGGTATTGCTTGCAACATCTTTTATGTTCTGGATTAGGGACCTAACATAAAAGAGATATAATCTGTAACAGCTGTTCCCGTTAAATACGTGTTATCACATTCGGATGCAAAATTATTTTAGTATCCGAACCTTTTCATTTAATTGGAAAACTTATACAAGTCATGGCTGATACTGTACATTAATTTTATTACGTCAAGATATTACTGATAACAAATTAAATATGTTGAATATTACAACCACAGAAACAGGAAATATGTAGCAGGGACTGGCATAATATAGAAGATAGTTCCTATCGAAACTTGTTTCGAGATAATAGCTTGTTATTTTGGAGAAGGCTACTCGAACTGTTATTTAAAAGCGACTAATTCTGAACCGCAACCCAACATTCAAATTCGTTACCTAAAGCGGTTCATGAACATCTGCAGCTAACTTTAAATGAAGAAAGCTATAGATACGTTGGTTTCTCTGAAGATTAAGATAGAATACCTCAAAGCCTATAATTATTCTGGTTCTCATCTTCAGATCGAAAAACAGCAGTGCAAGCATTATTTGGTGATAGACACAAGTAAGACTACCTACCTAGGCTGACTGTTAGGAGGAAAAGCGTAACTGCTATAGGGGCGACCGTTACCATGCTGTTTTGTTGTGTAAATGTTTTCATACTTTATTTTAAATTAATCTTTAAAATAAAATTCCCAGGGGGATTCTTGCTGGTTCTTCCTAAGGTATTTTTCCAATCAAGTGGTCACTTAACGCACCCAGCGTTTGGCAGAAAAAAGCGCTAGCAAGCGCTTGTAAGCAAAATAGCGATCGTAAGCGGTAAGCGCTGTCTAATCGTAAGTAGCTATTTCCTCTAGGACACGAAATTAGTTTTAACCGGGGAACCTAACCTAATTTAAATATATGTTTGTAAAGTAAAAAATTCATGATTGGTAAAAACTTACCAATCATGAATTTTTAACAACATGTATATGTCTATTCATGTCATTATATTACTTTACTATGTTATATATACTATATACTACATTATAGCATTTATACATCATATTGCATTATATTACATAATACTACATTATATTGCACAAAAAGAAACTTATAAACTCTACTTCAAAACAAACAAATAAATAAGCAAAATGGCGGGTTGTGTCAGCGCTACTGAAGTAGTAATCGTGTCCTGGCCAAAAACTATTTCAGCGCTTGTAAGTGCTTGCTAGCGCTTTTTTCTGCCAAACGCACCCAATGACTTTCTTATAATCTATATTGAATAAAATTGATTTTATTCTATTCTACTACTAAGAACTTTCAGTGACTGGTCTGTTTATTTTGTCTGATCATGTCGCCATCTACTAGAGGCTTTGTGAGACCTAGTATATCCTATAGTTGCTTATAACAACATTCACGTAAGGGATATTACACCTAATATAGAATTATCCTTGTGACTAGTATATCCAATAGTCGCTTCTTACAACACTTACGTGAAGGGAGGAATGTTACCCCTAATGTGGAGTTTGTCTTGTGACCAGTATATTACATATACATATACATATACCAGTAGATATATATATCATGTTATTTTTTTTGTAATTTCAATTTCTTAGTATTATACGCCTTTGTTTCGTGTGACGAATAAAAAAAAATTCGTTTATTTATTTAAATGGCATTGGACAAACACCCTAGCCGAAAATAATTATTTCAAGTTTACACTAATAGTCATCTCGCGTTGAATGCGACCCCGCGACTTAACGTGCCGCAGTCAAACGCATTTTTTTAGAATATGGTTGACAAACGAGCACACAGTCCACCTGATGGTAAGTGTATACCGTGGCTCATAGATATTTCCATTTAACCTCGATAAAGAAACAAAATGTTTCATTTCCAATAATAAGGGTCTCAGGTTCTCGACATTCACCATACAAAACACAGCAGCATTAAGCTGCTATTTTACGCTGGTACTCCGTGAGAGTGTGATCCTACCTTGATCACACCCATCAGTTAAAACTATAATATAGTTACAACATGGCCCTACCACGTATAAAAGTCTTTCAGATTACACTATAAAATATTATATTTCTAGGCTGCCCAGCGCCTCTCTTCGGTTTACAACAGCCCTGAGGACGTTGATTTGTGGATCGGTGGCCTATTGGAAGAGCCAGTAGAAGGTGGTGTAGTTGGTGCGACGTTCGCACAAATGATTGCAGATCAATTTTCGAGGCTCAAGAGAGGAGATCGCTATTTCTACGAAAACGGTCCTGATACCAATCCAGGAGCATTTACTTCAAGTAAGAACAGCAAAAGAATCTCTATACATGTACGACTACTACTTGGTTACGGCCGCCTGACCATTTTCATTTATAAAATGAGATGATAAATTAACTTACAGTCCACCCGATGGTCAGTGGCTACTTCAGCGCATGGACATCTTCAACCAACTTCCAAGAAAGCAGGCTACAGATGCATTGTAGCCTCTGAGGACTGAGATGGAATGTCTTACAGCACGTAAATGGCTCTCTATATTCCTCAGAACAGAACAGCGGGGCATACATTGCTATTCGGAGTCAGAAATAGATAAGAGCACCTGACGGACTCCTAGGTAGAAATAGGAGGCCTACCAGCTAGCAATGAGAATACCAAGATAATAAGAAGAAAATACTGTGTATTATTTGGGCTCATTATCTGATCTACTGGATAGTTACCACGTATTAGCTAAATTAAAATTTTATTTTCTATTTCGTATGTATTTTTTATAGAATATGGGTGACAAGCTAGCACACAGTCCACCTGATAGTAAGTGGATGCTGTGGTCCATATACATCTACATTTATCCTCTATTAAGAATAAAAAATCAGATGCGTTGTCATCCCTGAGGACTAAGATGGAATGCCTCGTTTCCAGTAAAAATGGGTACCTGGATTTCGAAACCTAATCTTATCGCTATAGGGGAAAAGTAGGAGATGAAGTGTTTATTGTAACATTCACAACAACAACACACATTTCAGTTATAACATCAAGTTTGTGATATTCCACAGAAAAGGGTCAAAAATTTAGCTTTTAATAAAAAGTAAACGCAAACAATTTCCACATAATTGTTTCTGAAGTCGGTACTTAGATGTAATGTATAGAAGAATTTAAGCTCAGTTTAGTTTTTCGTGTTGAACATTCTGGTTTGCTTCTGCAAAGCCCGTAATAGTACCAGTTATCTTATTCTTAAGATAACTGGTATGATTACAGGCTGCTAGGCATTTCATCTTGTATCTCAGGAGGGGGCTATACTTTAATGACTTCCTTTGTTTGATGTTGGATGGCAGGTGTCCCTGTGCAACAATAGCCAACCTATCTTCAAGTATACTGTTGGCTTGTATCTCACCTTAAAAATATTTAAAAAAGCCTTAAACGAAATCCCTTGTTTTAGTCGTAAAAAAAAATTAAACTCGTATCACTTTTTAAAAATTAGTCAAATCTTCTGAAGATCCCAAGGTTCAAAAACAAAACGAAATCGTAAGTATTCAATAATGTTATGTGTAATTACAGGTCAGCTAGCAGAGATCAAAAAAGTCACATTTTCTAGATTAATATGCGACAACAGAGATGGTGTGGAATTCTTAACCCAGTCACCGAATGCTTTTCTAAGAGCAGATTTACCTGGGTAAGTTAGCAATGAAGGGATTCCTCGTTTAAAATAGTAACCAGGTAGAATTAAAGATTTTTCATTGTAATGAACGTAAACAATTATTTAATTTCGTTGGCGTTATTGAAGATCACCATTTGGTGGTGGCATTATGAATACTACCATCCGATCTCGAACTGCGATGGCCATAGGATGGGAAAATGTAATTTTTTTAATTGTATTATAAGTCAGGTTCTGATTACTATTCTACCCAATCATAAGTCGAAAACTGAAGACTGCAACCCTTTTATAGTCTTCGACGGCTCTGTGTGCAGTGGCTTGGCAATGAGTTTCGGCGGTGACAGCCGCATGTTCAAATTCTATACCGAATAGGTGTTGATATGGCCTACAAACAATTGTTCCGGGACCGGATGTTTGTCTTTGTGAAATTTATGTATGTATACTGCCTCCAGGGTACATGAGAAAATAATAATGTGGGGGAAAATTGTACTTAAAAAAGAAAAGATAAAGAAAGTCTTCGTTAAATACACATACACAACGGAACAGTGAAGCTAATGTAGCCCAACGAATCAGCAAGCTGATGAGATATTTAAGGAATATGTAAATCAGGGCTGGCACACAAGATTTTCTAAGCTGTTAAAAAAATTAAAAGTTAATCTAGTAGTTACTAAGTAGTGAACTCAGACACTATAGTAGCTGTTACTGTTTTTCAGAACTGTAAAAAAGATACCATAATTGACAAATACATGTAGGTAGCGTAAAACAGTAACGTTATTGTCACAGCCTATTAAAGTCGGGGGGTTGACCACGTTTGCCACACGCAAGCAGGTTTGGAACCGCACTTTTTATTTTAGCCATTTCTAGAAAAAACGTTGCTATCTATCTGATTTGTTTCCCTCTGTCGTGTCGCACGGGATGATATAGGTTAAAGAATATTTTTACACCACATTTTTATTATGAAACGTTCGATGACCTCGTAGGTGTAAGTTAATGCGATTGCTGATCGTCGGGTCGGGATCGGGTTCGAATCCCGAGTCGAGCTAAAATCAGTTATTAGGTTTTTCTGTCAAGAAATTCTCTTGCTCTTAGCCTATTTAATTTTCATTTAGAAGGTGTGGCCGTGGTAGGAAAAGGGGAGATCTCCCGCCGGGCAAGGTGTTCTGCCCGGGGAGCGGCCAACACTCCATGTGATAGTTCGGAGATGTTCTACATATACTGTTTATGAATCAGAATTTTTATAGCATGATTTAGGCTTCGATGTGTTTCGCTTGCGGCGTGACGACAGCGCCGCCACATCACCCCCCTGCTCAGACCGGAGGTCGATAGTGCAGCCTCGTTGCCGACGAATGTGCAAGTACCAGTGGATTGCCTTGTAGTCTGCGGTGAGTCGAGAAGAAGGCAAGTAATCTGCGAGAGTGCCGTGAAGCAGAGGCGAGCAGTAAGGCTCAGAGCCGTGCTGAACACTGTAGCGCAGAGAGTAGCTTGAAGGAACAGGAAGCATTATTATTCCAGTGCTGCGATAAACCTTGTGTAGCTAGCTGGCTTGCAGGATATGAAGACCGCAGTTTATATCTGCTCGGGAGCGAATGGGTGGGGTATTCTATGACGATGATGAAGCTTGAAGTTTCCGAAGGTAGTTGGTTGCGTGTTCAGATCACGTCGGGTGGTCACCACTGTGGCCGTGGTAGGAAAAGGGGAGATCTCCCGCCGGGCAAGGTGTTCTGCCCGGGGAGCGGCCAACACTCCATGTGATAGTTTTTTTTTTGCGCCCGAAGCAATTAAAGGGCTACCCTATACGTAGGGAGGCGGAAAATGCATTACGCATACCACGATAGCCGGTCTATCGTGGTTATGAGGGGCTCACTGTCCTACCGGGGACCCTAAGTGATACCCTCTAAAAACCGCCTTTGGGGACAGGCAACCGGCTAATTAAGCTCTATTGTGCCTTATCATGAGCGACCCTCTTTTGGGAAAAGAGGGGCGCAGGCGGCTAAGAGCCGCTGTGGGAGTGCCTACGAAGGCAAATTAAAGTTGGTTAATACAATAATTTAGTTTAATTAGAGTTGGCCTGAGCCGCCAGGAGACAGTTCAGGTCGTTTGACAGTTTATTAGGCGGGTCCGAGAGAGAGTTTCTCGGCCTGCGGACACGATAACGAGAGGGCGGTGGGGCTGCATAAGAAGCTGCTTCACGAATTAATTGATTTGGGTGCGACTCTGAGCCTTTGAAGAAGTTCTCAGAGAGTTTTTTAAGGAATTGTTGAATTGTTGGGAGCTCTAAGTCCCGATGAAGGTCGGCATTACGGACGTACCAAGGTGCGTTCGCAGCTCGACGGCAGAAGAGGTTCTGAACTATTTGGAGTTCATTTATAATGTTAGGGTTTGCGTGGGCAAAGACGGGGCCCGCGTAGGACATGACTGGTCGTATACAGACCTTGTAAAGGGTACGCTTGTTTCGAAGGGACATTTTACTGTGTCGGCCCAACATACTGTTGAGCCTACTCAGATAAAACCGTGCGTGACGGGTTACTCTTTTGACGTGGGGCCTGAAAGTAAGCCCTGTGTCTATAGTGACACCTAAATATTTGGCGGTCGTATGCCAGGGGACAGGGGTCCCTAGCATACGTATTGGTGGAGTGTTTTTGAGACGGCGTCGTTTATAATCGAAGTGAACGGCGGAGCTCTTCTCCGGGTTCACATCGATGCGCCATTTTTTGAACCAAGCTCCTAAGTCATCAACTGACTTTTGGATCTTGTTCCGTATGAAGGGTAGTGAGACACCTTTGCAGTAGATGGCAGTGTCGTCTGCGAAGAGGGAGAGTTGAATACCTTTCGTCGGGATGGGAATGTCGTTGGTGAACAGGATGTACAGCAGAGGAGCAAGTACTGAGCCCTGAGGGACACCAGCCTTGATTGTTCGCTGTGAAGAAAGCGTGCCTTCGTGTCTAAAACGAAAGGTACGATGTTTTAAATAGGAGGCCACGAGACGAACTAGACGATCGGGGAGACCTATTTTGTATAGCTTGTAGATGAGGCCTGTGTGCCAGACTCTATCGAAAGCTTTAGCTATGTCGAAAAAGACCGCGATGGTCTTATGACGACGAGGATAGAAACCGCTGAGGATATATTCCACAATGCGGTGAACTTGTTGGGGACATGAGTGTTTGGCTCGGAAGCCGAATTGATGGGGAATGATAAGAGGATCGCCGTCTGTGGGAAACAGATAGCGCCTCATACGCGTTTGGATGACTCTTTCGAAGAGCTTGCCCATTGCCTTGAGGAGGCTAATGGGGCGATGACTGGAGGGGGAGGTTGAGAGGCTTGCCTGGCTTGGGAATTCCAATCACAGTAGCCTCTTTCCATGTAGTGGGAAAATAACTGAGGTTGAAGCAGGCGTTGAAGATAATAGATAGAAAGGTTAACACCTGCTCAGGAAAGTGTTTTAGGGCTTGGTTGGAGATGCCATCCGCGCCCGGAGCCTTTTTGGGCTTAAGTCCTTTGATGAGGGATGAAATCTCATCATTGGACACAGAGATAGGTTCGGAGGCCGTAGGGGGTGAGTTCCGGCGGCGGACCTCATCCTCCACTGCCTGGACGTGAGAGGGGTCGACGGGTTGAGAACTAGGAGAGCATTGAGCGGCAATGCTATCTGCAAAGCACTCAGCCTTTTCCTCATCCTCGAAGGCAACCGTGCCGTCGGGACGGGAGAGAGAGGGGGAGTGTGGGTGATAGCGTCTATGCGGAGGGCTCTAGCCATGTGATAGTACGCTGTGTAAGATGTAGAGATATTCTCCATGAGCTTACTCTTTTCGAGGTCTCGAAATTCAGAGAGGCGGAAGCGGAGTTTTCGTTGAAGACGATTGGCCGCGCGCCTATATTCGGGGGTGGGGTATTTTGCTGCTCTCCGGAAAGCAGCTTTTTTTGGCTTTTAATAGGTTGCTAATATGTAGGGGAAGCCCACTATTGTTAGCAACCGGGACGACCCTTTCGTTCTCCTTAAGCGAGGATTTAATAAGGGTGGAGAGTGAATCGACCGCGGTGTCGATTTTTTCGGGACTATCTAAGTCCGACGGTAGGGAGGTGGTAGAGTCCTGTGAGTCCAAAGCTTTGGCTGGGGACTCCTTGAATCCCTTCCAGTTAGTGAAGGTTTTCGTGTGTGTTGGGGGAGGTGGCTGATTGCCAAGAATGAGGGAGACCGGTCGGTGATCTGATCCTAGATCGTCTATTGTCTCGATTGCTCTGAGATTGAGAGAAACTCCTTGGAGTAACGCAAAATCTAACACATCGGGGGGCGTGATCGGTGTTATCGGGAAAGTGAGTAACACCGAGAGGACTATGGACGGTAATATCAAGAGACTGCGTGATATCGAGCAGTATCTTGCCACTAGGGGACGTCCCCTAGTGGCAAGATACTGCTCGGCATGTCCATGCAGTATGCTTGGAGTTAAAATCTCCAAACATAATGACTGAATTGCCTAAAGATAAAATGGCCTCAAAATCTTTTTTGAGGGGATAGGTTCCTGAAGGGATGTAACAGGAGGCTATGAGGATGGATTGATGTCCAGTCATAGCTAGCCTGCATACCGTGGCTTCCATGTTGGTAAGTTGCGGAGTAGAAATGGGCGAGCAATGAAGTGTCTTCCTGTAATAGATGGCCGTTCCGCCGCCTCGGCGGTCGGGTCTGTCGTTACGAAGAAGAGAGAAGTTTTTAATAGAAAGGCCTCTAGTGTCCTTAGCTTTGAGATTAGTTTCCTGTAGGAGGAGGAAATCGACTTCACGATTTCGAAGAAAGAGCTTGAGCTCTGGGAGGTTATTTCGCAAGCCGCGAATATTAAATGATACAAGCGATAAACCCTTAGGTTTGATACGACCGTGAGATCTTGGTAGGTTAATTTGCTCAGTCATTGAAGTTATGTTAATTAAATTAACTTAACTTACAACGCTAACAGAAGGTTATTGTGTTCTGCAAGAACGAGAAGGCGTTCTTGGGGGGACCATGTGATAGTTCGGAGATGTTCTATATAT